GTCTTAACATTAGCAACCTTTGTTTGGCTAGCCCTGTCTTTCTGGAACTCTTCAAACAGTCCTCTGTGGTTGTATTGAAGATGATAGTGGAGATTAGTCATGTTTCCTCTGGTGATTGCCAGGAGTGTTCGGCAAGTTTTGCAGAGTACCTGTGTTTGGAAAACGCCGTCTTTATCAAATCCAAAGTACCTCCAAATAAGCGAGGTACTATTTTTTTTAGGCACGAGTTCATAGTCAGTAGCGTTCTTGTCATGCGTCTCGCTCTCAGCCTTTACAACTCTGACTCGTTGCTGCAGCGTTGTTCGCTCCCCACCTGCGTAGGAGGCAGGCCTCTAATCCATTTGATTGGTTAATGCCGTGAAGGGCTCTATTCGACTGGTCAAATGTATAAAGGGGTTTCTTTGATTGGTAAATTCTTTAAAGCACGTGTGTAAACATTTTAAGGTACCCAATTATTGCAGTTTACGCCATCTTTTGCGATGGGCCCATTGCGCAGGCTGATATCGCGATGACAATAAATTTTCGATTTATTGTGCAGGTCTTAATGACATCTGTAGTTTTAGTCAAGGATTTAGTCAGCCTACCCTACATTGCAGCCGTCTTTACATAGCCTTTAAGTAAGCACCTGCAGCAGTGGGTAAGTGATTTTTGCTCACTGCACATGCGTGGGAGCAGGTTAATGACAGGCGATCTTTTCCATAGTCTGAGCGTCCAGCTGTCTTAATGTCTAATGCCAGGCCACTGATAACCAATACCATCACGTCTGGGATGAGTCTAAAGAGCGGGGTTAACGTGCATCACTAAAGGAGAGAAAACTTTAATACAAGCCAGGTCTGTGGAGTGGAGTGGGGACTTATCATAAGTGAAGTGGTTGTTTTTCTCAATCAGTAGAATTTATGTTGTCAGTATTTGTTGTAAATGCTGCTTTTTATGAATGCATTTAAAATGTGTTATGGGATTATGTAGTGTGGCTGTTCCCGTGGGTTTTCCCACCTAACTAGCTTGCAATGAAAATAAAGGAAAACGGTGGCTGTGGGGATACGTGGGATAACGACAGTCACGCCACTGAGTTAAGTTGGATTGCGCAAAATCCGTGCAGCATTGTGATATGAGGCGAGACCATAATCCACCAGTCCAGCCACAAGGAGGCAAAAAAGGCAAGGCAATGTATGCAGCTACCGAGGAGCACTGCAACCTCCTGCAGGCCCGCTTACAAACTACCACCACAAGTCGACAAACAGCGGCTGTAAGGAAAAGCTGATCGCTTGCGGGTTTGTTTGTTTTTTTTTACAACAACTCTGGGTACATACCGTGCTTTATATGTGTGGAATCCGTTTGTCCTGATGTGCTCAAATGAATCCTCACGAAGAACTTCTTGCAATCTACAGCTTTGCTAACGGAAAGGAAACGCTAACCACGTGACCCAGCGCAACGATTTCCGTTTCAATGACCTGCCTTCAAAATAAAAGCACGAAGGGAAACGACAACTCTCAAGATACTGTCGTAATTCCACTAACGCATTCCGTGCATCTTATTATTATTATTATTATTATTATTATTATTATTATTATAAGGAATTAGCACCTGTTTTTCTTTTTTTTTTTAAATTTGTTTACTTTTTAGAAAAATACAACTGTGAGTTCTACATTTTTTATTGAGTGTGTTATTGGAAGTTTCACTACATCTTTCTCTGTCATGGCTTATAGTGGCCGCAGGATAAGTGTACTATAATTATTTTTTCACACGGTGGCGCTATTTCCATAGGAAAACAACTCAGATCATCATCATGGACATTTATATATATCATATCTTTTTTTACCACTATAACACAGCCTGAATTTTAATATGTGAAATTACTTTTACACCGAATCACCAATACTGCACAGATTAATTTTACATTATAAGAATATAATGTATGTTGTGACTGTGAAACATGAGTAAGTTTGCGAAAAGGAAGCATGGGAAAGGGGGGAAATAAGGTATGATTCTCCCTGAAATAAGCTTTCTGCCAAATAATTATAATACTAATGCAGTCACAAGTAATAATATCACAAGTTCCCCTTGTATTCATAAAATTTTAATATATTGAATGATGACAGCTTAGTCCTGCGTAAAGATGAAAGCCCCGATTTACAGATGCTGCGCACAGGTTCGGGACCATAAGTCTTATTGTAAACATACCACGACAGACCCGACTATGTTTCCATGAACATGCTTTTCAGCATCTCTTTATTGACCACTTTTCACACACGGTTGCTGTACGCATACCGCCGGCTGTAGCTTTTCAGCTCACAGCCCGACAACACAACAGCAGAGAGAGCACATAAGTGGCGCGGCGTGATTGCGGGTGCAGCTCAGGTGCGTCCGACTCCCCTGCAGCGGCGCTGCAGACCACGCCCCGCCACACACATTAACCAGGTAAAATACATATTTAGGCAGAATTTTGCATCTAATCTATTTTTTTTTTAGCAGCATAGTGCTTTTTTTCCAATTACTTTTTAAAAGTCAGGTCAAGGCTCCAAAAGCCCAAAGTCGATATAAGGGTGGCGGCTCACAACAGTTTTTGTTTGCTACATGGATCATTTTAGTTCAGCTGGGTGTCTTTCTTTTTGTTATATTTCTGTAAAAGTTCAAAATGTGTTAATTACATAAATAAAATATAATTTTCTCTGTAGCACTTCATGGATTTCATAAGCAACATACTTTAGTTGCTCTGTGGATTCTTTTAAAAAGCAGTTAAAAACTTTTCTTTTCAAACAAGCCTTTTGTTGATCTACGTATTTTATATTCTTTACATTCTTTACATTTGATCTTTTACATTGTGTATAATGTCTATTGATTGTATTGTTTAATTTAATATTTGTGTACAGCGCTTTGTGACTGCCTGTCTGTAAAAAGCGCTTAATAAATAAACTTTACTTACTTACTTTAGTTGTTCACACAAAGCATAAAGGTAAAAAAAACAAAAAAAAAAACAATATATACAGTGTTATCTTCATTTTAGATTTCAAAAAGTATTTGCGGCTCCCAATGTTTTCTTTTGCATGGAAACCGGGTCCAAGTGGCTCTTTGGGTGTTAAAGGTTGCTGACCCCTGGCCTAGGCCATCTGCTGCGGTGTTGTCTGCGGGGGCAGCAGCATCTCTGCTGAGGACAGGAAGAGAACAGGCTGATCTGGAGGGCCAGCTCTGTTCTAGCATGCCCTCTGAACCCAGTGGAGATGGTGAGTGTTAGGTCTAAACTTGCAGACCTCGCTGTCTCAATGGCCTGTTACTGTGAACGAAGCAAGACACTCAGAGCTCCATCGGTTTTTACTTGCAAGGGAAGTCCGGTCGGGTCTAGAGTTGTAAGCTCTTCACCCGAACTCAGCCAACTCCGAATTCGGCCTCCCCTCACAGTCCTTTTATCAATAACAGTTGTTACACAAACATCTCATTAATCATATGACAGTTAAGACACTCACACTTGAACATGTATGCCTGTGATGTGTGTGTGTGACATTTTCTGCTACACCCCATATCACTGTGACCTTTCACTGATGTCCCTAGTCACCCCATGTATGGCATAACCTTTTAACGAACCAGTGTGTAGAAAACAGAGGTGAGCATTCTTGCTAAAGATCTAATCATCTTGCACAATGACAACCATATTGATCCACAAATCTCTAACAGTGAGTGACAGGAGAATGGTGGCTAAGCTGTCATCCCTGTTGGACAGCATCTCCCCATGCAGGAGACTCTGACAGCACTGAGCAGCTCCTTCAGTGGCAGGCTGCGGCACCCATGATGTGGGATGGAGAGATTTTGCCAGTCTTCCCTTCCTACTGCTGTCAGACTCCACAACAAAGACTTTGCAGCTGACCAAACACACAAATCCACACATGTGCAATAACACAAAGTGCAATTCTCTTTTTCTGACTAAATTGTATTTTATTCTGTTTTATTGTGTACAGTATCTTATTATCATATATTCCAGTATTTTTTCTTAATTTTCGCTGCTGTAACATTGCACTGTCCAGTTTTGGCTGTAACGAAACAAATTTCCCACGAGTGGAACTAATAACGGTTATCTTATCTTATATAAAAATAATAAAATTATAGCACACCAGAAAGATAGTCAGGAATTCTGTGTCAGCAAAGATGAAAGAATAGGGTGACACAAAACAAAGGTGCGTGAGAAAGAATCATATACTCTGATGAGGGGACTGATTTATTTTAAATAAATGTACCACTAATGGTCTACTTGTCCTGTTTGTGTTTTGGGGTCTTTGTGTCCGGTTGTCTGAATGCTTTCCCACTCTCATCTCCAGCCCCACACCTACGATGAGAGGAGGTTAAGCAGACGTGTTGTTCTCACAAGACACTGCTCCACACAGTGTATTTACACCTCAGTGCCTTCAACCAACCTCAAACAAACTCTGGGCTTTATTTACTGACCTCTAGTGGCAGTAAGGTGAAATGTTTTTTTGAAATTATATATTAAATAAATATTTTGCAGTTTTCCATTAGGCATCGTAAACCAAGATTTTGTGTTCTTCTCCGTTAAGCACACCGATTTGCCATGTAATGAAATGTGGTATGTATAATATTACTGTCTCAATGTTAAAATGCTGGGTTACAGAGTGAAAACAACGACACAGACACTTAAAATTCTCTTAAACCTTTCTTATCAAGAGTTCAGCTTTCTCATTTTGAACCTCACAGCTTCTGACCGAATTTGGTGGTTTGTTCAGCTTCAAACTTGAGCCAGTGAGTCTGGAAAATGTGAGACACACTCAGGTTGATGGACCCTTTTCTTCTAGAGAAACTGAAGCCAAAGATCTAAATGACCAAAAAGAAAAAAGATTTAATAAACTATCAACACTTGTCAGGTACCTCCTGGTGACCTGTTAACTAAATTAATTCATTTTTCAATAATATTTTCACATAAAAGATAGAATAATAACAGAAAATTAAAACTGTGCTCTTCACCAGCCTGTACAAACAAAAACAGAAGCATTAACTGAAAGGCTGCGAGACAATTCATGAATGAAGACATATCATTTACAACAGAATGTGTCACATGGCGATTAGTTTAGTTTCTGAACTAGTAGGATCAAAAACATTGGCTTGTTCTCCACAGTGATGTGTTAAAATAATCAGTAGATCAGGTCCATCAGTCAGAAACGGAGCCTTGAGACATCTGAGATGACGTTTTTGAAGCTCTTTGTCGACGTTTCTCATAATATTTCTACAAAAAAACAGAAAAGTGAGAAATCAAACATCGTTAGGCCAAGAGTGTGATTTTGTGTACTGAATGGTGTGTGCGCATGCGTACCTGCAGGTTGTTGTAATGTTTCTGGCTGCAGCAGTGGAGTTCCTTGGCGGTCTTCTCATTCAGGTAGAAAACAGAGCAGATGTTACAGAAAAATCCTGATTTTGGGATCACAAACTCCTGACCTGCAGAGGAGTAGAAACAGGAAAATTAGACAAGTGTTAACACAGCATTTGGATCGCGTGCGTGTTTATGTGTGTGTCTCACCGAGGGGGCTATTGGGGTTGAATTGAGGCAGTCTGAAGTCTGCTACAACACACGGAGACTGAGAGCGAGATCGCTTTGCCTCAGGTCCGACAAGCTCCCTCCTGCGTTTACCCACAACTGAAAATGAAAAGAGCGACACGTTAATCATCAACAAATCTGCTGCAGGAGCCACCAGGTTTATAAAATATTAAATTATAACTTAAGTAATTAAACAAATGATTTTTTTGATTTATTTGAAAAGGTGAAATGCTAATCAGCCACTTTATTAGGTACACTTGTTTGACTGCTCATTAATGTAAATCTCTAATCGGCCAATCACATGGCAGCAACTCAGTGATTTAGGTATGTAGACATGGTCAGATGACCTGCTGAAATTCAAACTGAGCATCAGAATGAAGAAGAAAAGTAATTTAGTGGACTTAAATGTGGCATGTTTGCTAATCTTAGCATTTCACTGATGGGATTTTCCCAAAGAAGCATCTCTAGGGTTTACACAAAATCGCCTGAAAGACAAAATGAGCAGCAGTTCACTGGAAGAAAATGCACTTTTGAGTTCAGATGAGAATGTAATAACTCAAATAAACACTTATTACAACCAAGGTATGCAGAGGAGTATCTCTGAACACACAGCACATCCAACATTGAAGCAGATGAGCTGCAACAGCAGAAGACCACACTGGGTTCCACTTCTCTAAGCTAAGAACGCAAAACTGAGGGTACAATTCACACAAGCTCAGCAACGCTGTAAAATAAAAAAGTCTCAATTTCTGCTGTGACATTAGGATGGCAGGGTCAGAAAGCTTGGATCCATCGTGCTTTGTATCAAAATTTCAGGCTGGTGATGGTGTGGGATATATTCTTCGCACCCACTGGGGCCCTTAGCACCAACCACAAATATGTAAAACATATTACTACCACCACAAGGTGGTGGAAATGCATCTCAAAGCTATTAGTAGGCTAACAGTAGCAGGCTATACAATTTTTCTTTTTATATTCAGTTGACTGTGTTTTTGCTGTCAGAGTGATGTATTTTGTTGATTTAAAGCAGCTCTTTGTACCTTTAATGCCAACCGTGCTCCATCCATCCTTCTCCTCTCCCTCCTCTGTCTCCTTATCAGGACACTTAGACTCTGGCTGCTGTCCAGCAGGTGCAGCATTAGGCTGGGTCTCTGGTTCCTCTTCGGTCCTCTGGCTCTCTGCCTGGTCGTCACCTGGCGGCGCAGATGAGTCTCGGTCCTGTGATAAAGTGTTATTAACAGAAGCTGGAGGCAGTGGTTCTGTTGTTTCCTCCTCTTCCGTCTCATCTTTTGTGCTCTGTGGTTTCCCTCTAGCAGATTTTCTCACTGTGGGAGGAAACAACAGATTAATTAAGCTTCATGTCTCAGAGCTCTGACACGACTTTATCCCAGATGCCAGCCACTGGAGAATATATGTACCGGTGTTATGTATTTAAACTGTATTCCATTATAGTTACCACTTAAATAGGTGATAATTAGAATACAGTTTGTTGAAATAAATGGATTAAATGGCAGACTTTTTCTGTTTCATATATTAGGCCCTCTCTACTTTTGGTACATTGCTGGAAACCCAAACAAAACACACAATAAGAGGGTCTAATGTAAGTGTCCTGTGTATGTTGGTTGCGTCAGTTACACGACCTGGAGCCAGCGCAAGAGAAGCAGCAGTGCATGGGCAGGAATACATTTCTTACTTGAAAAATTCCAACACCACTTCATATTTAAAGAACAAAGGGATGGGCGAAATCTGAAAGTTCAATGCAAACTCTGCCAACAAACAAGCTGCTTTCGGTTTCTAAAGCACATGTGTCAAACTCAAGGCCCGCAGGCCACATCTGGCCCGGTGTACATTCATATCTGGCCCACGAGATCATTTTATATAGATTTATTATTATTGTTATGCATGGCCCAGTGATATGAGGCGCTAATAACACACAAACTACAGATCCCAAAATGCAGTGCTGCAGGCTCCTTGCTGAACGCTAGGCTAGCTGGGAACATTCACACATCAATCAAGTCAGACTTCTGTTATTGCGAAGCTAGCCGCTCACAATGGTGGAGAGAAAAGTTGATTCTGAAAACAGAGCCTGCGGTGGGTGACTGAATATATGTTTACAGACATTGCTGGTAAACCTGTGTGTCTTATTAGTGGAGCTAATGTGGCTGTAATTAAGGAATTTCATTTAAGACGGCACTACGAGACAAAACGTCAGGATAAGCTGAAAAACCTAAATGCAGAGCAGAAACTGCAGAAAGTAGACGAGCTAAAGAAGAATCTGACATTTCAGCAGACGTTTGTCACCAGAGCAAAATCACAAAGTGAAGCTGTTGTGAAAGCAAGTTTTATTGTAGCAGAGGAGCCAAATCAGCCCGGCCATTTACCGAGGGAGAGTTTCTGAAGAGCTGCATGATGAAGGTGTGCGACGTCTTGTTTCCAGACAAAACGCAGATTTTGGCAAATGTGAGCCTGAGCAGAAACGTATGTCAAAGTGTAACCGACGTGAAACTGCCCTGGGACAAACTTGTTGGACTTACAACAGATGGAGTGCCGGTGTTGTGCGGTGAAAAAAGCAGACTAGTCAGCAGGATGCGAGTAAAGATGCAGGAGGAGAACTGTAACTGTGAGTTAACAGCATATCACTGCATCATATACCAGGAAAGGCTGTGTGGTAAAGTCCTAAAAATGGAGCATGTAATGATCACCGTCAATTTCAGTCTTTTATGTGGGAAATAGATTCAGAGTTTGCCGACATTCCTCATCATACAGAGGTCTGTTGGCTGAGTTGGGATAAAAGTTCTCAATAGAGTTTTTGAGCTCAGCAAGGAAATCTGTCAGTTCATGGACATGACATGTATGATGGGGTGAAGGCATTTCAGGTGAAGCTGTCACAAATGCACCAGTGCAACTTGCCTCACTTTCCCTGTTGCCAAGTAATGTTGAACCAAATCAGCGGACTTTGCTGAACTGCACCTGTGCAGATTCAGATGGAGCTGCAGTGTAATGATACACTCAAGGGAAAGTACGGCACAGTTTATTAGTTCCATTCCTGAAGCAACGCCCAGCTCCGTCTACATGCGGCTTCAACCTTGTGTATGCTTTCATTTATTTTTTCTGGGGGTTTTGGCAACATGTTCATATTTCTAACTTGCAGAATTTTGACAGGATATATTTTTATGAAGAGCAAAATATTTAAAATTAAAGTTTATTTTTTTAAGTTTATTTAATCTGGAATAATATTCCTGTCTGTTTTTAATTCATATTTATGTTTAAAAAATATTGTTTTAGTGTGTTCAATAAATGTTTATCTTGTTTGGCCCGCGACCTAAAGTGTGCCTTGACGTTTGGCCCCCTGTGCAATTGAGTTTGACACCCCTGGTCTAAAGGCTCCAACCTAAAGAAACATCTGGAAGTTCTTTTTTAATAACTAACGTTAGCCTGCTGCAACTACCTTGTTTTAGTTGTGGTAGCTACCTGAGTTATGTACCACTTAGTATCTACATGACTTATTACTATTACTGAAGGCTACTCGCCACCGAGCTAACATCTTATCTTATGTTAACATAAGTCTTTTCTCCCCTACAGTAAATATATTGTCTATTCAGAGAGATTTGGGCTTACAAGCCAAAAACAAACAGGAATTTGCAGGATGTGATTGCTACATTCATGTAGTTGTGAAAAGCATGACAGTATATTAAGTAATCCAAAGTATTCAGAATACGTTACTCACACTGAGTAACTTAACAGAATACATTACAAACTACATTTTGGTGCATGTATTCTGTAATCTGTAGTGGAATACATTTTAAAAAGTAACCTTCCCAACACTGACCCGGGGTCTGCCTGGTTCTCTTCCTGGGTCGACCTCTTGTCCTGGTAATTACCGCCTCCTTCTCCACAGTCTCTCCCACCTCGTCCACCATCACAAAATTGAAGCTCTCCTCTAAAACAAGAAATCAGAGGCCACAGGCAGTATTGACAGTAAAAACTTTCATTTCGTGTTGAAATATACCCAAATTAAATGCTGTCTTCTAACAGGGCGATGTGGGAAAACCTCCATTTAAATAAAACAATATTTCTGTCAAGTATAAAGTTTCCTGTTATAAAGTATAAAGTTATACCCAAGTATAAAGTTTCAAAACCACAAATGTTCTGTTAACGACTTTTGACACATTTGAAAAGAACATTTTCTCCATCTCCACACCAGGTGCTCTTTGTAGCTCGTCTTGCTCTCGCTTATCTCTGGAACATCAGACGCACGTCCTACAACAAACTGTGCCTGAACTCTTACCTAGAAATGAGTCTACCTACTATGTGTGTGTGTGTGTGTGTCTCGACCTCAAATGCACTCTGTCTCCCCTCGCCAACTAAACTCATGACCTCTTACCAGACAGAAGCCACTCTCATATGTGTAACAACCTAACTGACACTATATACGGAATATATTGAATAAATGCTTTAATCAAATGCTACTAGATACAGTTTGTAACTATATACATCCAGAGAGAGGGCAATTGAAAAGCCAACACACTAAGTAGCAGATTAGTACGTTATTATAAAAAACAAACAAAATAAACAAATATTTAAACAACCATTCCTTCAGTGATGAATATCAATGATATCTGGCCTTATGGAACTCACACAGTGGAGCCATTTTCCCCAGTGTTTTACATATTTCTCATACTCAAAATTCACTAAAATAAGTAATCTTTTCCATATTATGAATCTCCAAAGTTACATCAATACAGCTGTTTAATGTTGGTGGATCCTTTTGGTCAGTGCCTTTTTATTTGCAGCTAGCAGCACACAAAGTAAGTATTTATCTATACCCTTTATGTCTCAGGGTATGTATTCTAAAAATATGGATTTGAAATCGAAGTGTAAATATGTACTAAATATGTTTTGCATCACTTTATGGACTTCTATCCAGTAATTCTTAATATTCTTACAATCCCAAATTATATGGTAGTGGTGTGCTGTTTCATAGCCACAGTTCCTCCAACATTCACAACTTCCACCATCATAATGCGCCTTTAAAGCTGGGGTAATGAAAAAACAAGCAAAACTTTTCTAGCAGAACTCCTTCCAAATATGTGATTTTGTTCTTCTCCAATGAAAAGAACAAATGTTTTGCCATTTCTCTTCTGTAATCACCAGAGCTCCCTCTTTCTCCCATCTTTCTTTTATATACTTGGTTGAATAATTGCTGAGATCATGAAGACTTTTGTATATTTGTGAGATTACACCTTTCTTAATTTCTGACTTATGAGCATTTAAAAAGAGTTGGATAAATGGCCTCGCTGTAGTGGGTATTTGGTTTTTAATGTTTCGAGTATAAAAGTTTCTTAACTGTAAGTATCTATAGTGGTTTTGGTTTTCTAAATGAAATGTTTGCTTTAAAGTTTGGAAACTCACAATTTCATCTTCCTTTACAATACCGTCAATGTAATTCCTTTACCTATCCAGTTTTTAAAACTAGGGTTTACATGATTTGGTGTAAATTTAGAATCATATGCACACCATTTTAATATTTGTATATTCTTCTGCAGCTTATTTTCTTTTACCACCATTTTCCAAACACCTAGTGTGGCCTTTAGCCAAGGATTTCTTATTTTGGAAATGTAGTCCTGTAGATTTCTACCTGTATGTGCATTTTGGTTATATGCATATTGTTTTGCATTCAATTTCCTTCCAACACTGCCCTGCTCATTGCTGAAGTATAGTTTTGGGGGGGAAATTGATGTCCATAAAGACAATATTGATTTGTAAATGATTAACTAACAATCTTGTGTTTGTGCTTAAAGTGCTTTGGCACTCTTTGGCAATATTGTAGACAATGTTAAACTTAATCATCACATCAGCCTCCTCTGACGACCTGTTTGCTGCTGCCTGCCGCTGAAAGGCAGTGGCGAGAGGGGACACTTGCGCAGTGCATTCATCACGACATATAATGTGTTTTCTGGATACACTGTGCTTTTTCAGCGTTCAGAGGTTGATGGCTCTGTGTCAGAACTGGCTATGAAGATCAGACGGATCAGGACTTAACAAAAAAGTTATCAATAGTCCTTTTCATCTTTCGTCATTACCCACAGCTACATCCACTTCTGTTGGGCCTAGGCTGCTCACTAGGGCTGGGCATCATCACTGATTTCTATGACATGAAAGAAATTTTCCTGGCCTGGCTTTTTATAGCAGATAACCTTAAAAATATTCTGCAATTTTGCATAATTTTAAAAAGTTTACATTTCTTCAGTACTGAACAGCAGAACAGGCTTTCTTGTTCGAGGTCATTTGAGGTATAAAAAAAATAGATAAAAAATAGACGGCGACCAACAGCGCTGTAAACAACGGTAAACTGGTGGGTAATGAGCAAATGAATAATGCAGAAAACAGATTTGAGACGGGAAAGTGAGAGAGTGAGAGAGAGAGCTGTGCATGAAGTGTGATTTTTATCGTGGTGGAAGCAAAACAGCCAATGTCAGATAGGGCTGTGCGATATGACCAAAATCTCATATCCC